ATATTTTTAAGTATATATCAAAATTATACTAGTACCATTTGGAAAAACCTTCAGAGTAAAAAAAAGTCTGATGTAAATTTTATCAAATTATTAAACACTGTTAACAGGGATTATGATTCCTTTAAAGGTTTATGATAAATATTCCTTGTCCTTCCTCTTCAAATGCCTGTTTTTATATTATTGTTCATTAATCCAGTAATTAGATTGCCATATGCTGACTTTGAATGAATATTGAAGCAGACAGATGAGAACAACATAGATTAGATATTTTGTTGATGGAGATGGTAATATTTATAGTATGTTATATGTGTGGCTAATAGTGAGTTGATAGGAAGTAGGAATCTTTCTAGCTTCTGATCCTTGTTCTGTGAAATGGTCTGTGAAACCCATGTGTTTGGAAAGCAGATTAGAGATGATCTACTGTGGGTTACGAAAAATTAACAACATAAGAAATTTTTACTGGCGGTATTATTGAACATACATGTTAAGTTTGAACTATACCCTATTTTATACACTAGATATGTTGTAGAAAGTTTAAGTAATAAAATTAGGAATCTTTGTTATTGTGTTCGCAGATTGGGACTGCCTATATTTTCTTGGGAATCTATAGGTTTCTTATAAGAATTAAAAACTGTGTGTGCTTATGTCAGCTATCATCAGAAAATATAATAGCATATTCTAAATCATCTAGTTGACCATCTTTTAAGCTGGTAATGCCAGGAGATTGCAGTGCCTCTATTTATGTTTGTTTGGTCATGTTGGCTCCAGGTAGTATTGTACTACTTTGTGAAGAGTTAGTTAAGAACTGAGGCATATCTAATGCATAAATGATGTATTCATGTCTAGTAGACCGCCAAATGATGCTATAGCCCACTGCATGACGTAAGTTTTGTGGTAGTTCACGTTCTTTTAGCTAACATTCTTTGAGCATCTTCTATGTTCTAGGCACTGTTCAAAGTACTCTTCATGTATAATAATGAAGCATAATTAATATAAGGATTTGTGTTTTAAATTCATACAGTATACCTGTGAGGTATGTGTAATTACTATTCCTGTTTTACAGATGAAGGTATTGAAGTATAGAGAAGTTAATTTTCCTAAGGTTACAGAGCTAATAAGTGTTAGAGTTGGTTTTCATACACGTTGTCTGACTCCGTAGCTTCTAGCCACTGACTATACTGCCTTACAGTAGATCCCATCTGACGCAGTTATCTGGGCATTCCAAACTCAGAACAGGTAAATTGGCATTGTATTCTTGTTACCAATTGAGATTTTGTTTCAGCAAACATCTTGTTTTCTGTCATGTTAATGTTGTTGATTGAATAATACTGGTTTTATGGTGGTATTTGGATTTAATTTGTAAGATTTTACTGTCATATGCATTGTTATAAACACTAAGAGTTTTGTCTTAGTTTATATATATTTCAATAAAATTATAACAAAAATAACTTAATTTTTGTAACTCAGACATTACAGTAGAGATGCTGATGTAAGAATTGCTTTGAATCTTTTTTTGTTTGTTTGTTTTTCTTTTTTTTGCTTTTTTTGGCCATGCCGTGCGGCTTGTGGGATCTTAGTTCCCTGACCAGGGATTGAACCCTGGGCCCTTGGCAGTGATCAAAGAAATCTTTTGTAATGCACATGAATACATATTGATTTTATTTATTATACAAATTCAGGGTTTCATGTAGAGTATTGGATTTTCTTGAAGTAAAACAGCATGAATTGGGGAAACTTTGAATTTGTTGTTTTGTGCATTTGGAGGTACTGCTCCCAACCCAGGTGACTTATATTACAGACGAACAATCCATAGGTATTAATATAGACAATACTTTGTAGGATTTTCCCCCACTGGTTCCCAGTTGGGGGCTATTCTCTAGTCACAGACAGGGAATGGTATCCTATAGAGTTCTTATAGAGCTCTCTAGCGTCTATTACTATCAAAAACATAGAGGGTCTTGGGCTTCCCTGGTGGCGCAGTGCTTGAGAGTCCGCCTGCCGA